TTTCTTTATTTACTTGTGTCAAAGCATTAGCTTTTAAACTTAAGCCAATTTAATTTGAGTTCTGTCATTTGCAACTAAAGGTGTCCTGACCCACGCATGTCCATGTGACTAATGAGCGGCTTCTGGTGACAAAGTAGCATCTGGAGAAGGCTAGAGTCCAGCCCTGGACTGAAGGATCACACAAATTACCATGAGCAGGTCAGCGGTTATGGCCATGGGAAAAAAAAACCTAGAAACTGAGGAGCTGGCCTCATGTCAATAACTGCTAGCATGAAAACACAACGATTTCCTTTATATTTCAAGGGTTGGGTCATACTGGCCAGCCCTGGCTTGGCACAGCAACTTAGTGTTCCTGCCAAGGGAGATGGTTAAGATGGGAGGCTGATTTATTTGAGTACATATGTGTCAACATCATCCTGGAAAAAAAAGCAAAAAGGGAGAATGCAGATATGCCTGCTGGCATGTGTTATTACCAAAGAGGCCTCTTTCTTGGCCTCAGAGACAGAAAGCCAGAATGTTAGACACTACTTGAATCACAAGGTTGACCAAGCATGGGCCTTGGAACAATAGAGTCCCCTCTGTAGGGGCCTGCCTTACATAGAGTGGACCTGAGTGGTGATAAGGAACCCCATGAAGACCCCAGGAAGGAAGAGGCAGTGAGTGCTAAGGTGGACTCCTAAACAGCAAGAATCCTGGTGTGGTTGAAGAACCACACTGAGAGGGTGACAGAACCACTCTCTGTCCATGCCACCCACTTCAAGTCTTGTCTGTCCAGTGTTCTATGGTACTTAATACATCCAATCTCAGCTCTCGACCATGCATAACCCATTCCACAGACTTTTTTTTCTGGGGGGGGAAGTCTGGAAAGAAGTGTTCCCCAAGCAGAAGGGGAAGGGCACACCCTTGCAGAGAAGGGTCTTTGAGCCACGTCCTGGAGAGAAAGCAATCCACAGGGGTGAGGCCTATTCGGAAGAGCTGTGGATGCCAACCCTCCATCTGTCTGCCATGGGAGAGAATGGAACACCTGCGTGCAGAACACCAGCAAGGGTGGATCCAAGAAAAGCCTGAGGAAATGCTCGCGCCTGGGATGAATCAAAGCTGGTCCTATACTGTATTCTAATATACCCATGAAGTAGCAGGGACCAACGGTTCAGGAGAGTAAAGGAGAAACACTGAAGATGGAGACCATTCCATCATTTAGCTTAATGTTGTCTGCCAACCAAGAGAGGAACATCATCAGTTCACATTAGCAACCGCCCAGTGTGGAGTGGCTTGGGGAGCACCTGGCTTTCTACTGAGCACTGACGAAGATCAGCTGCTATGGCCAGAGGGAGCTGTTCTGGGGCCTCCATCAGGCAGTGACATGATCAGATTTGTGCCTTGGAAAGGTCACTTCGGCTGCAGGGTAGAGGATGGATGGAGGGGAAGAGCCGGCTGGTGGTTTGGAAGCTGCTGGAAAAACACACATGATGAGAACCATAATTCGGGCAAAGGGAGGGGCTGGGCAGTTTCTTGAGAGTAAGAGTTCAGGTCTGTCTCTGAGCAAGACCAAGAAGCAGTCACCACTAGGTTTTGTCCTTACATACTCAAATTGTCTGGGGTAAAAAGTTAATGGGATCTACACAAAACAAAACTGATGTCTCTTTCTAGTCCCTGCTTGGGAGAGGGGTGGCCAAAGCTGAAGACAGCACAGAAGTGCATTCTGAAGTTGAAACCCTCAAGGTTTGAGGAACTATTTCGGTAGGCAGACTACAAAACTCCTGCTTCTGAATCTGCTTGTTGGGTCGGCTCTGTGCAAATGAGACATTTCTGAGGCTTGGGGGCTTTTGTTGCTCATTCTGATAAAAGAATAACCATCTCTCCTTCTACAGGCAACAAAAAAGGACAAAGTTAAAAGATGTCCATTTGGGACCATCCAAAGCCCTCTTCTACATGAGAGTACATTGAAGACACATCTGGATTCCCAAGCCATGAATAAGGATCTCAAAAATGTGCTCTGATATTGCTCCCACCACCATGCTCTCCTCTTTGGAGTGTGCAATGTCCTTGAGGAAGAGGAGCACCCTCCTGAGCTTCCTACAGCAAGCCTGCTGTGGCATAAATCACATGGCTATTGCTGGAGGGCTTACTCTGTGCTCAGCCTGTATGGGGCCCACTGACACTTGCTCACCATGGGTAGGAGTCTCCCACTGCCCAGTCACTGTCTAACCACTGGCCTGTTAGCACTCAAAAACCTTCCCCTGCCCCTGTCATCTGGCTTCTTTGGGAAAAGTCCATGTTTATGGTCTCTTTCTGCACTGATTAGAATGTCAAACACACAATAAAACACTTGTCCCCAAAAGTGACTTCTTGGATCCATTAGCAAAATGTTAGAAAGTGGGTACAAAGCCCAAGAAACAGGACACCAAGGCTCTGTGAGCTTGGGGAGTATTACAGAATCCTAGCCCAGGCCAGGAATGAGTCACAATGAAAGCTTTTAAAATATAAAACCATCAACCTAGATTTCAATTCCAAGGAAACACATACTTGGCCATGAGGGAATGCTTAAAAAAAAAAAAAATCAAGCTTAAGCCACTTGACAGGAAAATAAAACAGCCAAGGAACATTCAAATATAATGATTTACATCCTTCCCCGGCTCCTGTCCAACGTGGGTCTAGGCGTACATGGATGTGACCGCAGTGTGCATACCCACTCAGGGGCGCCCCTTTTCTCAGCACTATCTCATGCACATAGCCCCTTGCCTGGATGTGGCCTTCAGGGTGCTATGCCTATCTTGTGGACAATTCCCCCTCTCTGTGCTCCGGAGCTCTTGGGTTGCTCGGGGTGGATATTGGGGGAACAAAGGATTTCTCTTTCATTATTTATGTGTGCAAACACTGTTCGTTTCTCTCAAAGAAATGAAGCTTGATTGATTTCCCAAATGTGCGAGCGAGACTGTCCCACAATAAATATTTAAGACTGACCAGGAAGGATGACCGCCATCTACTGAAACACAATACCAGGAATTACTTAGTTAAGCTTCCCGAATAGAGGGAATGAATGAATAACCATCCTATGTAATATTTGTTCAGCACCTGATAGTTTACACAGTGTTTTCACTTATCTTATTTGATCTTCACAATAACCCCAGAGAGGCAGGCAGGGCATGGATTGCAGGGATTATGAAAACGCAACATTTCTCCCCCCATCCCAACCTTCTTAACAAAAAAGGTCTATACAGGCTTAGAGTCACTGGTAAAGGTCAGGGAGTCTGGGGACTACATCTCGGTTCTGTCATTCATTCATGTACATATTTAAAAGGCATTTATCCCAAGCCTGTAGCAAACCGGACGAGATGGCAGCGGGTACAAAGATGACTAAAACACAGTGCTGCGTAGGAGGAAGGCCTCGTTCTAGGCACAAGTAAACAAGCCCATTCTTTGCAAGGGGACAAGAGCTGGAGTGAATGAAGCAGAATGGGGACCATGGCTCGAATCTGATGTTCATGCAGAATGCCAGCTGTTATTTACCAATACCAGTCCCCTGAAGAGGGAGGAGGCTTGGCCATGTGACTAGGGTCAGATCTTGGTGGGGAAATCAACCAAACTCTTCCTTGATGGGCAGGTATTTCCCCTGGTGTCCGCTAATCCTAGGGGTCCACGCAGGGCTCCCGGCTTGCCTTTTGCGAAGCCAGTGCTTTGCAGGGGCGCCTCTTCACGCCCTGCGAGTTCCAGCTGGGCGGGCGCTGCAGGAACTGCCGCGGGCCATGGGCGGATTTACCTTTGCTAAAGGTCCGGGAGCGTGCGCCCTGTGCGCCCTGTGCGCCCTGTGCGCCCTGTGCGCCCTGTGCGCCCTGTGCGCCCTGTGCGCGCTGGCGCGCGGCGCTCGGCTGGAGCCTGTCCTGGCCATCGATGCGCTCAACCCTGTTCGCTGGCACTCTCGGTTTTCTTTTATGCATTGTGTTATTTGCCTCAAAGATACTTGTTACATAATTTTTAGTTACACGAAGAACGCACAAAAACAGTCTCCTTTAGAGGAAAAACTCCGGTTCCCGCGCGTTCCCTGCAGGCCGAAGGAAGCTGCGGACGCTGGCTGCGTGTCTCCTCTCCCGCGGGAAGGCTAGGGACACCTGCGCGTGCGGGAGAAAATTTTCAACGTACGCAACAGCGGGTCCGCACCGCCCCGGGTTTGGCGGTCGCCAGCCTGCGTCACCGCGCTCGGGCGCCAGCGGCTGGGACTCCATGGGCCCCGCGGAGCCCTGGAATCCGGCTGGACGAGCACCGGCAGGCAGGCGGGCACAGTCAGATGACAAAGTGGGCTTTATTTCGCGGGGGGCAGTCAAAGTTTTCTGCGAACTTTTCCACTTGAGAACCACAACCCAGCAGTGCCCCCTACAGAAAGCGCAGCTGGGAGGGTGGGTGCCCCCAAGACCCCCGACTGCTGCGGGAGGCGCGGCCCGGGAGGCCTGGAGCACGCGCTTCCTTTTTTTCCCCTCTGGTTGTTTTTCTGATACATCTTTTTTTTTTTCAGAGTTAAAAAAAAAAAAAAGTGTGAGAGAGAGAGAGAGCGTGCGAGCGAGCGAGCGAGCGAGCGAGTCGCGCCGCCGCCTGCAGTGGAGCGTGCTCGGCCTGCAGAGGCAGTCGTCTCCCACTTTTCCTCTCCCGCCCCCGCTCCGCGCAGCCAGCGCGGCCCTGCTGGAGCCCAAATTTGCCTGCCGCACAACTTCCACTCTAATGCGGGCGCCAAGGCCCCTAGCGGCGGTTCGCAGCGTGGGGGCCACTTTGCCGAGGCTCGGACTGGCCGGCTCTTCGGTCTCAGCAACAGAGCCTACTTAGAGAAAGGGAAACCGAGCGCCCCGAGAGAACCCCGGGAGAGGGCGGAGCGCTCCCGCGCCGGGGCAGGGGGGCAAGGGACAGGGGGGCAAAGAGCTCCCGCTCCCGGAACGTTGCAAACAAAGCTTGCGAGCGTCGCAGGGGGGCACTCGCGAGGGACGGACAGGAAGAGGGCCAGGGGGGACGCCAGAACCCGGGACCACGGCACGGAAACGGCCCGGGGCTGGGCTACAGTCAGATCCGGGGATGGAGGGAGCCGGAGAAGAGGCGTGAAAAGGCCGGGGAGGCAGGCCCTGCTGACCTCCTGGAGGCCGGCAGCCTGCTGGCAGTGGAGGACCAGGCCACTCAGGAAAGGAAGGGGTCAGGAGGTCGGGCTGAGCGTTGGCAAGCTCGGTCTGCCGAGTAGGGAGCTGCAGGCGCTCTGTAGTTCAGGGCTCGGGCCTGCTTCGGGTTGTCCACACAGAAACCTAGAGCGGGCCTCGCGCGGGTGGGGGGGCGAGGCGCCTGGCGTCAGGGCGGGGCCTAGCGCAGCACCCGCGCTAGGGCCCGGGGGCCAGGACCTTTGGGGGTCTCAGCAACTGAGAGTGGTAGGGGGCTTCAGGCCCTCCCACTTCCGAGCTGGATTGGCGAGTTAGACGCTTGTAGATCGAAGGTTGGATTGGGGTGGGGTCTCTGGGACGTTGGCCCGCTAAGCAAGGATTGGGGGGATTCAAGTGCTTAGAGATCGAAGTCAGGTCTTGGGTAGGGGGAGTCAGACAATTGGAAAGCCTAGGTGGTTATTTGGGGAGGGGTCTTTGCGCTTTGGCGGAGCGCAAAGCTGCGCTTTTCGGCTTTGGGCCTCGTGAAGAGAGGCTTCTGTGAAAGGGTGGGCCGGCTAGGCCAGACCAAGAGAAAGTGAATCAATCAAGACTATCAGTGGGCGGGGGGACCCTGAGTGGGGGGTCACAAAGGGTGAGACATGGCCACCAGGCGTTTAACCGACGCTTTCTTGTTGTTGCGGAATAATTCCATCCAAAACCGGCAGCTGTTAGCCGAGCAAGTGAGTAGTCACACCACCTCCAGCCCTCTGCATTCACGTAGCATTGCTGCGGTGAGTCTCCTGGCGGCCTCTCCGACACACGCACCGTGTGCACTGCGGCTCCGCCTGTCTGTCTGTCTCTGTCTGTCTCTCTGTTTAAAAAAAAAAAAGAAGAAGAAGAACAATAAGACTAAGAATAATACGGAAATGCAAGGTGTCGTGGCTAGGGTCAGAGGGCCTCTATAACCCTGGTTGGGGAAACCGTCCTAGGCCCCTGCCCCACCTCTGCCTCGCCCTCTCACTTCCGCAGCCCTCCCAGTCCTCCCCCCTCCCGCCTTCGTCACTGCAAGACCGGTGGCTTCCAATTTACATATGTTTTAACACTTGGATTTGGAAGCGTTGGGCTTTTCTGAAGACTTCTTTTTGTTTTGTTTTGTTTGAAGCTCCCCCCGCCCTCATGGTGGGCTTCACTTGGGCCCTAATGACTTGAGTTGCGGGATCGCAGACCCAAATCTTTGCAAGTGAACAGTTCCCTTCCCCCAAAGAGGAAGGAGTTGTGTTGTTGTTGTTGTGTGTGTGTTTTCCACCCCTTTTCTTTTAATGGCCTCGCAGCCCTCTGTGTGGCCATGTTCCCTATGAATAATTGCTTCACTGTTTTTCCTGGGGGCTCATGTTTGTGCGACTGTGAGGTGCGAGGCTCTTCATTTTCCATTTCCCAGACAGGAAATTAAGCTTTCCCCTGCATTCGAACTTTTTTAAAAAACATGATGTATATGTGAAAATTAACCTCTCAAAATAGCACATGTTCTTTTTAAATTTTTATTAACCAGAACCTTCACTTAGCCTAACATGAGAGGTTTTTTTTTTTTTTTTTTTTTTTTTTTTTTAAAGCAAGGTCTTAGAAAGATTACTGTTTTAGGGTTGCTTTTAATGGGGCTAACTTTCCTTTTCTGAGCCTCAGTTTACTGCTCTTTTAAATAAGGGGGCGGGTCAGGGTGATTCAAACAATAATGTTGATTATTAGCTCTGTAATATCTTTAATTGAAAAGTGAAGATACAAAGCTCGTGTTAGTAGGGGGCTTCCTGCTCTAGCCAGGCTAGGTTTGAATGGAAACAACTGGAACATAGGGGAACAGTAACCCCAAGATCTGATTCTTGGGGATTATGCTTGAAAGAGAGCTTTGAAATCCAATGTTTATTTCACCTCATAGTAGCTGTACTGCCTTTTAATTTTTTTCTTTATTATTTATCCATAATACTAAATAGAAAAATTATGGCAAATGTTATAATTATTGACATGTCTACCAATACAGTTTTTCGTTTTTGTAAGTCGTGGTGGAAAATATCTTTAGCCATATTACTCATTGAAAAGCGATTTTAAGCCATGTGTGCACTTTCAGGAATAAAAGGAGTAAACTTTGGTCAAAAAGCATAGAAAGCAAGGACTGGATATATTGGGTTTCTATTTATTTACATGAGAATTAGAAGGCATTTTACATTTATGAAAGGAAAGAAATGGTATTATACAGAAATAAAAGTAAAGCTGTCAAGCACAGAAACAGGCTATGTCTAGCGCTAATTTTGAAAACAGTGTCCTGAAATAAGCCAAGAAATAGAGTGCAGAAACTGAAGGAATGAAATTCCTCAATGGGTCTTTAGTTATGTTAAATAGGAAGAATTGCATGCTCCTTAAATGACTTGATTTTATGCTTCTTTGTAGGGGGAAAACACGGAACTAAAACCCGTGTTAATGCTTCTGGGGTCTCACTTTTAATTAATAAAACATCATTTTAAATTTTTCAGTTATAAAATTCAACACACCCTGAACCTTTGTGTAACTTGAGAATTTTTTCTTTCTTTTTTTAATCTTTAAGTCTGATGATTTTAAAACCTGGTGTCTGAGACGGGTGCTTTTTAAAAGTACATTTCTGAGTCAAACCACATTTTAAAATGCTTTTCTAATTTCAAAATTTTTTTAAATATGTAAACTAACTAAAATAATTAAAAATAAATTACTGAAGTGTACAATTTTGGGAAAATAGATATGTCGGGAAATGTATAGATATATTTAGCTAATTCAGTTTCTTGAAAGTAGATTTCTAAATCTAACAAAAACACATGTTTTAAGTCAGAACATTAAAAATATTTTTATGTCACACCATTGAAAATGTTATATGCCTATATTAGTGGGAGCATTTAAAATCTTTTTCTGATCCTTAAAAACAATCAGATCATTTCAAATATCTGTGTAGTCAATTCAGAGTCTAAAAAATAGATCTTGAAGTCTAACAAAATTAGTTTGCCTAAGTTAGAATTTTAAAACAAAGCACATTTGTGAATTTTGATTGTGTACATTAGACACTTCGTGCCATCAATTTCTGAAGTGTTTAGGGCGAAGTATTACACCTTCTGTTTGCTTACGGGTGATTTCACAGAAACCATTTCTGCGCACACAGAATCAAATATAGCCAGGTGTGAATATATGTAGAGATTGCCGTTTTTTACCTTTTCTGGACATTTGAAAAATTATAAATATTTTGGAGAAAAAGACATGGCTAATGTGATTTTTTAAAAACTGTGATTTTTAAAAACTATGATTTTCAGTGTTCCTCACTGCACATCTAGCTCAAATATTTTAAAACCTCATTTCTGACTTGATAATTTTAAAGCCGTATATCAAAGCAAAACTATATCTGTCAGATTTGATATGGGCTAGGTTTTACGAGATACTAAGAAATACTGATGAATTATAACTAATAATTAATATTGTTAATTTTAGTAGAGATGCCTACTGAAATGTTTCCAAATGAAATGTCAAAACGGCTGTTACTTATTTAAATACTTAATTTCCCTCAAAAATAGAGGAAGCCAATAAAGCAAAATGCTGTTAATTGTGAAGTCTACAGATGAATATGTAAGAGGATATTTTACCATTTTTACATACTTTGTTTGAAAAGTAATAAATAAAAACTTAAAAGAAATATGTTTATCATAGAAAAATAAAACAATTAAAGAGACAATTTATAAATGTGTATATCTAAACTTAGATAATTAAAAAGGGAAGTAACTAAACACAAGATTTAATTTAAAAAATTGAAATTGTAACATGAAATTTTAAGTTCCTACTTAGAATAAAAACTGTAGAAGTTAATTTTGGTGCATTTGTTGTCTTATGCACAATTAAAAATGAATTACTTCAAATAATTGATTTTTTWAAAAAATGTAATGCTGGATTTTTACAACCCTGTTTGAGGGGAAAACTGCAGAAATTGATTGCAAAGTGGCATCTGTGTGTATGTGGTTTCACAGACTACTCAAAACAAAGCACATCTAATACTTATCCCCAAAATTTAAATCCACATTTCTTTGAATACTAATTTGAAGAAAAAGCTAGAAGTTCATTGGTAGTGGGGGTTATTGTAGGTACCTATATATGCATTGAGATTTTTTATAGCATTCAGGCAAGTATGTTACAAATAAGCAGGAATTTAAATATGTCACAGATAAGCAGGAATTTAAACCTTTTGTTACCGCGTCAAAATGAAAATCTTCAAGGGCCAGAAGGGACTAAAAAGTCATTTGGCCCAATATCTCCCAATTGTTGACAACTGCCTGCCTTTGCCCCATCACTTTCTGTGACAGCGGGGCTCGGCATTCCATACCTTTTACTACTGAAGCGTCTTTTCTTTTATTGACTTCGATTATGTCTATGTCTCCCAGCCTGTAGTCCTTGTTTTACTTTTTTTCCCCTAGGGTCTGTGTCACAGGAAGGCTCTTTCTCCTTCTGCATGAAGACCCTGAAGCCTTGTCCCCCGGTGTGTTGTTTTTTTTTTTTTTTTTACCCTAGGTTTAGAAGTCCCGGCTCAGACGCATGGTTTAATTTCTTTCCTAGAAATAAGGTCTAGTTTTTCTGTATCTTTCTTAAATTTCAGTGCCCAAAACTGAACAAAATTCTACTTATTAGTGCATTTTGTTGCATTAATATTAGTAAAACTAATTGTTAAAAGCAGACTGGGGTTTGATTTTAGTCTCAGGAAAACACACTTGTTGGGTCGTTCTCTTGCACTCTGTTTTGGGCACCCCGTCATGTTTGTGCCTCAAGGCAGCATGAAATAAAAGGAAAAAGCTGTGGATGGTTAGTCTGGGAACTCAGGGGAGTCCCACTCTGTTGCAAGAGCCTCATTTGTAAATTGAGAAGTTTGAATTAATAGTAGTCCTGTGTATTCAACAGTTGTTTTCTCGAGTTCTTTTTGAATATGTTGTTTCTCCCAACCAAAGCACATAGCTTTTTTTGTTGTTGTTGTTTCTCCCAACCAAAGCAACTAGTATTTTGAAAAGGGAAAAACCCATAGTCAATAACAGTATTGTGGCTGTCCGTTCATGTTTACTGACAAAAATCCTGAGAAGTAGCCCTGATACCGAGCAGAAATAACTTTTTGACGTGGTATCGGCTGAGTGTAAGTTTTAAGATAGCCACTCATACAAGCAGTTCCAGGCAGTTTGGCTTCAGGAAACTGAAATAGATGTACAAGTTCAAGAATCATTAAAAAGTGTAAAGTCTTGAATGAATGAATGAATGAAAAGTGGAAGTTGAGCTGCTGTTCATTTGATGAGATGCTGTATGGATTTTTGTTTTCTTTGATCTCCTGTAATGAATCTAATGCAGGGCTGGAGCTACATTGGTAGGGTTTACCACATAATCTATGCTCTGCTTTAAAATAATGCATAATCTATAAATGGAAGCTTGAGTTAATTGGTCTTAGTTTAAAACTAGCACATTATTTTTAATAAAATATGTGCTTTAAGAAGAAAAGAAAATAAGGATTAACTCTAGGTAAAAGAAATCTAAGCTCCTTATTCAGTGTTGACTATAATATTAGCTAAGATTTTATTGAGTGCTTATTGTGTGCCCGGCATTGCACTGAACCCTCTCCTTGAGTAACCTCATGTCATCCTCACAGTGCCCCACCTCCTAGGTGCTTGTGATACTGGAATGGGTATAGGTATAGAGGGGTTGGAAGTTGGCCGAGCATCACCCATCTCATGAATGGGGGGCTCTGGGTGGAACTGAGCTCATGTGGCTAGAGCCCCATGCTCTTACCTCCTGGACCACACTGGTGCTGGCTGTTTTCTAGAACACGGGTTGCAGACCCTGGAAAATGTAAAGATTTGTTGTTAAGGTGCATTTCTTTCCTTGCAATAGGCTGGACCAGTCTTTCTTCATCTCTGTGGCCTTCCCTAGTCAGTTCCAACTTGCATAGTGAAGGTTCTGAGCCCTATTCAGGCTGTCTGTTGGAAAATCAGTTCTCTGTCTTTAGAATCCAAGTATGAAATCATTGTATATTTCTCTTTAGATCTATTTGCTTTTCTGCTTTTAAAGGTTCCATTTGAGCAGTGAGGCTTACTTGAGAATAAGGGTACTTTGTTGGATAAAAGTGAAGCAAGCTTTTATTTTGGCAGTAATGGAAATAAAGTAAATATCACTATAGCATAGACCTGTATTTCCAACTCATTTTGCTCAACTTTTCCAGACTTCCTGAGTAAACACAGATGGGTTTCCACTTATTTTTCAGTTTTATGTAGAAAGTTTTTTAGACTATAAATTCCACATGCTACTAGGAGTTTTCAATATTTGCTTGATTTCATGCCATTGGTAGGTCAGAAACTTAAGATTTAGACATTATAAAGATTTAGAAGGTGTAGATATGTAGAAACATGTATTCATTCGGCTGTATTTTGTTTTTTCCTGGTGGTGATTCTCAATGTTTTCATTCAGATCTTCACTAAATGTTCTGGTAATTTTGTGACAGGGGGTTTTGAAAGCCTTCTGTTTTTAAGTAGCAAAATGGGGGGGGGGGCTCTATGAAAAGAGGGCCTTCTGAATTTAATCCCTGTGCTGTGGCAGCTGGCTGTTACAATAAGTCCTGAATTGTTAACAAAATTAGGGAGGCCGAGGATGGCATGGAAAGAGGTCTGGACACTGGGGCTGTCCCCATCCTAACCATCAGCAAGCTCTGTGACCTTAGGCAATGCATTTTGAAGCTTAGTTTTCTTATTTATAAGAAAAGAGTTGTGTGTAGCCCTAGAATCTCAGGTTGCAGTTTTACCTCTTCTCATCTAATAATTGTAGAAATCAAAAGAGCAGGGTGTGTGTTCTCCAGCATCGAAGGCTGTAGTGCACAGCAGAGATCCTGACCGGGGTTTGCGATGATATTTTGTTCAAAGATTAAACGCTGCAAAGCGGGAAGAGGTCGGAGCAGCCATGGTTAGGGTTTTGGCTTGCATCTAGTTTTATTGATAAAAGGTGTCATGCTTTCTTGCTGGAAATGTTAAACTATAAAACAAACATTTTTCCTTTTTAAAGTAAAAGGAAATAAGATCAGATTTCCATTGACACTTTCTTCTCCCGGTATCTTCTGGCACAACTGTGAGGGGCATGTATTTATAAATACCGTTCTCCTTTGCCCCCAGCAAATTGTAGGAGTGAGGAAGGTTTTCAAGTTTCTAGAATGTCACCTCTTGAAGTTCCACCTAAGAAGTGTGGGTTGAGTACATTTTATTGCTATCATTGTGTAGTCGTGTTTTGATCCTGATAGACCAACTTCATTTGCACTATTAATTTTTAAGTGAGAACATTTTGTGTGTTTTTTTTTAATTTTCTAAATTTACTGCTAAACAAGAAAATCAACACAGTTGATTATTGCAATTCACCACTAATTATTTCCATGATCAATACTGTAAAAAAAAAAGACCTAGTTGTTTAGATTATCTGTCATTAGTAACTGTCTATTCAGAAGATAGAGTTCCACGTTGATCTAAAAAGAATCTTTATTAGAAATAGAAGCTCAACTCCCCCTCCCCAATCCCCCTCACAGACAGCTCTCTTTATCTTTTGTTTTGTCTTATTTGCTTGCTTTTATAATAGCCTTATAGATGATTGTGTGCTTTCTAGACTGATAATAATACATACCAAGCAAGTATTGAGAATTTTTCTTTTATTTTCCCACCTGTGTTTTCCCGGGAAAGAGTGGTTTCTCGGCTCTCCATGACCACGGATCAAGCCATGTCTGTGGGATTTTGTTTGTAGAGCTCTTACACATGGGGTCGCTCAGATAGCTGAATGCAGTAGACAATTTTGAGGGTTGTTCATTTTTTAATTTTGTTGCATTTGCAGGGCTGATTTATATGTTAACATATACATTTATTTGACACAGTAACGTTACATCTTAGCTTGTTCTCTTATTTAATCTTCCGCAGAAAATTTAGAATGTGGCATGGTATGTGATATTTGATATTTATGAAACAGTTTAACTAGTATACTTTAGTGAAAACAAAGTGTTTATTTCCATTGTATTTTAATTTTTACAACTATTTGTTTCTTATATCCTATTTCCTTTAACAAAGCAACCACAGTTAATAAAAATAAAAATATATCTTAATGCAGCTTTTATTTTTTAGAAAGCAAGAATCAGAAGGGAACAGTTTTAAATGCCTTGACTAGTGGATCTTTGTTTTTAGTCAATTTAGAGTTGCTTAACACCTGTTTTCTCACCTGCCGGTGCCTTGTCTGTCTGCCCCATGCCTTTCTTCCTGCTCTCCCTACCTGGACCCACCTGACGGCAACAACACATCTGCAGGAGCTGGATGAGGTACTGTGTTTTGGATATTTTTGCATGTGAGGTGATTTTAGTTTATAAAGTACCTCCTTTTCCTAAAGTCTTTGCTCATATATAAAATGCTAGTGGACATTATATATGTTTTAGCATTTGTTTTGATTATAATATGTCTAACAAAAGTGATGCTTAGATTTGTTGAGTGTCTTCACCCTGCATGAGCTGGTGATTAGAAGGAGGTGTGGGGCAGCATTTGCACCTCTTGGGAGGTGTCTCACCATTGGAAACAGCGAAAGTTGAGTGTTTTTTGAAATGTGAAGTTAGAGGGGAGTGATACTATGGCTCAAGTAGAGCACAGGAGGACATGCTGCCTGACAGAAGTCCAGGGAGGTGGGACTGAAGCCCCCACAGGGTCTTCCAATGTCTTCCTACTTTATTGTGTCTGGGATGACATGTGGAATGCATTTCTGGAGCTGGGCACTACATCTCGCCCAGCAGGTGGAGGGAGTGTGTGCTCAGGCACCTTCCTTCTAGCTCTCCTAGAAAGGTCGAGGGAAATGAGATGGCACTGCTGCCACCCATCCATCTCGGCACTTCTCCCCAGGGATGACTCTTGCAATGAGTGACTGCGGGGAAGGGCTCTTTGGTTTTAGTTATAGACTTGTACAGTGAGCTTCGAACAGGACCACTGCCTTCAGAACATGTGGGGTCCTGATAGACTAAGATTTATGTAAAAATTCAGAAAACCTTAACTAGTTGCTAGTATACAACTGAAATATCCTTCATTAGGAGCCCATTAAATAAATCCTACAATGTCCTCAGTCCCCAAGTTGTCTACCTGGCCACAATGCTTAGTGGGAAGGAAGCCACAGGCAAAGCAGCGTGGGTAATGTGAATCTTACCTTTCACCCCCACCCCACACACTTTTTTTTAAGGAAAATAACTCACATTTATGCTTGTATGTACTTTAAAAAACTGAAAAGATACACACAAAACCACTAGCAGTGAATATCTCCCAAGAGAAGCTGGGACTGGAAGGGACATTCCATTTCTACTGCACACCCTTTTTTTCTGGCGGAGGATGCATTCAACACGTGCACAGGTGACTTTTGTCAGTTGTTAAAGCATACTCTCAGCTGGAAGCTCCTTGAGCAGGTGCCACCAGTCCTTGGTGGGAGTTTCCTGCCTTGTTCAAGAGCTTCCCTGCTAGCACCCAGCCTGGGTCTGCAGAGGGGAGAGGTCACAATGAAGTTAAGGATATCTGGGGTGCAGTGGACATGGATGGTTTTGCTGACCAAACTCCAGCACTGTTAAGGCTCTGAGGCACATAGTGCAGGCAGTTTTAAAATAAGTGTAATATAAAATAGATGTTACTCCTTACTGAGCAGTTGGTAAGGTTAAAACCTGTGACCTTCAAAGGGCAATGTCTGATGAGGGACAAAAGCAAATACAGGAAGGACTCTGGGTGAAGGGGCATTTGCATGGGAGGCACACAGTGGCCCTGGTTGCCAAAGGGTCAGCCCTCTGAACCCATCTTCCCTTTCCCGCTTCCTCTTCAGTCAGCAAGTTCAGAGACTGCCTGTGTGCCGTCTGAGCTAGCGGGCCCTTTTCCTTTCCCAGGCTCAGCCTTTGGTGACCAGAGATCCCAAGTGCCCTTTCTCTGTTCATGGACGGAAGTGCAAGTGTGACAAACTCTTCCTGCCTGTCTACCTGGGGTGCCTGTGGCTACTTTACCCCGTTGTGTGTCTCACTTGCCACTTTTTCTCCTCCTCCAGCACCATTAGGTTTTTTCATGGAGTGTAGCTTCCAGAATTGTATGACTTGTTTTATTTACCTCTTCCATTCATCCCACTCATTTACTGCTGATTCATCCAGCTAATTGTGTGTTCATCACTGTGAAGTGCCAGGTGCTGAACCAGGAGCTGGATGTACTGGGATGGTCTACTCAGACTCCTCCTGGGCTAGGGTAGGCTTCACCCTGGTGTCTCTCTGCCTGAGCCCCCACAGAAAAGGCCTCTGTCTACCAGAGCCTGTTCCTTCCAGGGCTTTCTGTAGGTCACTCTGACAGTTGGTCACTCTACTACTCAAATCAAGAACCCTGGAGACACCACCTTCATTCTCAGAAAATGCTCAACAAGATGTCCTCTGAGGAAGAGATCCAGTACTGCCATTCTCTCTGCCAGGGAAGTGCCTGGCCTCTGTTTTGTCCTCCTCCTCTCATCTGCTTATGACAAGTCATCTCCCAAATGGCTGGGTTTTAAAAATTCAAAATAGAGAAACTTAAAAAAAAAAATCACAAGATATAAATGTCAGGCCCCCAAACCACATAGCTTGGGGAGGGGCAGGTGGTGTATTGGTGCCTGGGTCAGGTCTCTAGTCATGTCTGTGTGGCCTTGAGAAAGTCCCTGTGATCAGGCTGGTCCATTCCCCACCCCCAACCCTGCTCCTTAAGGGTTAAGGGTTAGTTAAGAAAAAAGAATCAGTGAAACTAATGATGTTTAATGTCAGGGTGGGTGATTCCCAACTTTTTTATTTCTATATTTTTATAGTTTAAAAAGTATTTTGTCATTTCATAATCTGGAACAGTATTGTTTTTAAATCAGCACATGTTGAAAATACACAGTGCTGACACTCAATTCTCTCATCCCTCTGCTTTTTCACCCCTCCAAGAAGCCAGGCTTTTAGCTTTGGAGTTTCAGGATGGTGCTGCCGCTCTGCAGTGTGCACGCCTCCTGCAAGCTGAGCGTCTGGGCTGCAGTCTTTAGTGTCCTTCTGTGCTTGGTAAATGGCCCTCTTCCGGGCAGCTCAGAGTTGTCAGTGTTGTCCTCATCCCAGTACATCGTGGCCGGGCTTGGTTTAGTTTTTAGCTTACTGACTTTCCCTATCCCTAGGAGGCTGTGCTGTGTCCTTAATCTTATAGCATACTAAGTCAGCCTGCACGCACAAGTGGGATTTAGAGAGGAAGTGAGCATGTTCCTTCCATAGATCAGGAAGTTGTCTACACTGTGCTCTTTAACAGAACTAATGTCCACATCTGAAGTGGATCAAGGGCAAAAGATGAGACTAGCAAGAAAGTCACTTAAGTGTGCTGTCTGAGCCTCTGCTGGAGTTTTTCTGCATTTCCACAGGTTAGGGTAGTATACTCCATGGTTCTTGGAGGACAACCCCAAGTTAAAGAGATAAGCATTCTTAAATTCTTAATTGTTTAAATCTAGGACCTTGAGCATGCTAGGAATATTCTTAACCATTAAGCCACATCCCTGGCCCTTTTTATTTTGTTTTGAGGCAGAATCTTGCTAAGTTGCCCAAGCTGGCCTTGAACTCTCAATGCTCTCAATCTCCAGATTAGCTGGGATCACAGGCATGTACCACCACACCCTGCTCTACAGCTTTTGTAACAATTTTTTCTTATTTAAAAAATAAGGGAAGGTGTTGTGTTTTTTTTTTTTTTTTTTTTTTTTTTTTACTTAAGAAGCACAAGTTAATTAAGAAATGCTTTACTAACCAACACCGTATTTTTAGAGAGGGGGATCATGTTGAAATTAGGCAAGAATAAATAAAATGAAAATTACAGTTTTTTAAGGTCTGTGTGGAATAGGATGGCAACTGAAAGTGGATATGTATGCTGGAATTTCAGCAAACAAGAAAACGTGTTTTTAAGTGGCAAGTGAGATTTTTAGAAGTTGAAAGGGTGACTATTTGAGACTTAAAATGTATTTTTATGTTCATATTTGTTTCAAGTAATTGACATTTATTCTCAATTGTTTTCCTTCCCAAAATATCCTGTCTTCTTTTATAATAGTACATTACCAATTGGTACTGATAAGAAATGATACATTTCTTCTCAGTAGGGCAGCATTTCTATCATGGTGAGTTATGGCTGAAGATGCTATCAAAAAGGGGACAAATTGTTGGCCATTTGAAGTTTGCTATCCCAAAGAATGAGCTGTTCTCTCATTGGCAAACTACTGATGTGGTGTGCAGGAACACTCACATCCAACTGGGTGGGCTGGTGACCAAGCTTTCCTGGAGGGACTGCCTCATTAGCCAGCTTCTTTAGGACCCTTAGAAAAGTACATTTGCCCCAGGTTTGATTTACATCTAACTTGCTTAAAAGAATTGGATCCACTTTAGCTGTTATGTGTGGTTTACAATATTTTGTTTAGATAAAACAGTATTAGTCACAGTACAAGTAAATTTTAGCTTGATGTATATCAAGCTAAAGTGTGAACAGGTCAACTTATTTTGTTCATTATAAATCATTATACATAAATCATTATTGCTGTATTGAAATATGGCATAATAATAATAACATATGGTAGATTAGATAAGTGGTATAGTGGAAAATCTGTGGCTTATCAAAAGGTATGGCAATTTTAGATTTTGCTTAGTATAAAAAGCTGGAGTATAAGTTCAGGTTATTATTATAAGTTATTCCCTATTCAGCATACACTGTCAGTGTGCCGTTAAGTGACCATGTGGTTTGTCCCTCTGCCTTAGACAGTGTGTCTTTCACCAAGTTGGATGTGCCCCTCTGTGGCCCTGGATCAGGAACATGGAGCAGTCACCAGCACTGCCCCTGATTGTCTGCAGGCAGGCCACCTTTGTGTCTGCTCCACAGCCTGTTGGTAGAAGAGACCATTTTTTTCCTAAAACAGTTATGGAGCCTGTGCAGTTGCTGGGGAATGAATCAAAGTTCTGGGTTTTGTTGAGCTTTAATCTGATGGCTTGTCCTGATTCATTTTCTTAGCAAATTGCAGTTATATTTCATGGACCTGCCAGAGTGATTGGCAGCTTGTAGGGTGGAAGGGTCTTCTGGATTCAGCTGACCCAGGTTTTAATCTGTCACATAATAGCTCTGTGGCCTTGGGCAAGCTACTTTTCTGAGTTTCAATTTCTGTATTTATAGATTGGAATAATAGTTCCTAGCTCACCTAGTTTTTGTGAGGATTGAAATAATAAAAAGAATGTGAAATTTCTATTAGTGAACTCTTAAAAACAAACAAAAGGTGGTAATGGAGGTGATGGAGAGTCTACCACTTCAACCCCAGACAGTGCAGGTTTGGGTAATGCACCATTTGTTTAGGAATGGAGGCAACCCTGGGCCTGTGGCTCTAGGCCTTGGATCAATGCAGTAGACTGAATCCTTGCTTCCTGGCCTTCTGGGCTAGTCCTGGGGTCTGGTCCTGTCTGTGTGTGGTCCTTGCACAAGACTCATTTCCTGAGTGGATGCAGTGCCCGTGGTACAGAGGATACCCAGTGCAGAGCAAGGCAGGGCCTGGCTGCCAGGTTGGAGAGGCATGGGGTCTGGAAGGCAAAGACACCAGTTTGCTTTTAGGCATTTTGCTATGAGCCCTGTTCTGTATTTAGGGCTTATTACTTGAAGAGTTCTTTTAATCTAGATTTTTTTCTTATGTGATATTTGTTTTCTTTTACCTATGGGTTTTTAAAATTTTGTCTTCTTTATTGTTAGGTAAGCAAATAAATTTTTGCCAGATGAATAAAAAAATGAATTTAGATAATTGAAGGGAAGAGAGAAAGGAATAGAAATTCCTCACCTAGTTCTACAGTATGATTTAGAAATTTACAAGAGTATTATCTATAAAAGACTTTTATAGACCATTTTCCAATATTTTGATTTTCATTGGGATCTTCTGAAATTGCCATTTAAAAATTCTGAGCTCCAGAGGTCACCTCCAAATCTTTTCAACCCATTCACTGCCTCCAGCTCCCCCCCCCCAAAAAAAAAGCTTAACCTTGCAAATCTGCGATTTCTTCCCATTCTTAAAAAGTGAGCAAGAGAGAGAAAAGAAAAGGAATATTGATATCATTTCAAAATAAGGGAGAATGTTGCCTCTGGGTTTCTAAGTAGGGAGAGAAATGACCGGTGAGACTGCACTGCGGGTGTCGAGCATCGCTCTGGCCTGTGGGTGACTGCCTGGGTCAGGCAGCTCTTTCACATGCTTTAGCACATGGTTGATGATCTCGTGACTGAGATAACTGGATCAATACTATTTACAAAATAAGCTGAGTGGATGTAAATAAACCTTGCTACTATTAAAATGTTGTATTCCGTTTATAGCCTAGGATTTCTTTTTACTTGTATCTGTTCACATTAATTGCTGAGGTTCATGCCATTCTATTGTAGATTGGTACTAAGAGGCCTTTCTTTTAAGGATCTTCTGTTGACTTTTTCATTACATTTCTATAGCCAGATCAAGTCAGATTCATGTTCACAAGTATGCCCAAGGAAATTAAGAACTGATGCATGAAAAGATAGGAAAACAGTTCCAAATCCTAAGTGTCAAAAGCAAGTTTATAATACAGGCAAGTGCATTTACTCCTATGTTTCTATAGCTCTTTAGGGAGCCACATTTAAAAGGGAGGAAGAGTTTCCTTACCTAAACTGAATCCAAAAAAATTTTAATGTCCGTTTATTTTCCTGTAGCTTGCTGATGACCGTATGGCACTGGTGTCAGGCATTAGCTTAGACCCAGAAGCAGCAATTGGTGTGACAAAGAGGTCACCTCCGAAATGGGTGGATGGAGTGGATGAAGTAAGTTGAATGAGAGTTTCTCAGTATCTCATTTTTTTTTTAAGTAATAATAACATGTTTTAAGATACCTGCCATGTAAACTACTGTGACTGTAGATGAAATACTTAAGCATTGGGTTTATTCATTTTACATACCACACAAGAAAAGTATGTGTTAATGATTTGGCTTTAGTTTTTTGTTGTTGTTGTTGTTTATTTGTTTGTTTTGTTGTTTTTTGGTTTGGGTTTTTTTTTTTTTTTGTAGTTGTAATTGTAGGAGGACAGAATGACTTTATTTTGTTTATTTTTATGTGGTGCTAAGGATTGAACCCAGTGCCTTATAGGTGTGAGGCAAGCACTCTGCCACTGAAGTATAGCCCCAGCCCTTGGCTTCAGTTTTCATGTTAGTGGTAACCACCTGAATTATAGAAAGAAATTGAAATGTTATTCAAGGACGATGTTTAATTTCGGGGTAACTTGAAGGCCCAGCTCTGTTCTGAGTGTAGTTGTCTCAGTGACTTAGACACCTGCCAGGCATCATGGAGCTCTGGTGACTTCATTTATTCAGATACAATACGATGTTGGCCGGATTAAACAGAAGATGAAGGAATTAGCCAGCCTTCACGATAAGCATTTAAACAGACCCACCCTGGATGACAGCAGTGAGGAGGAACACGCCATTGAAATAACCACCCAAGAGATCACACAGGTGAGACCACAGAGGATCCTGGGAAGTTGATGGCCAGGCCAAGTCTCCTTGAGGCCATCTCAAAAGCCACACAGTATTGCCACTCTAAACCAGTTAGTGGACCATTCTAGAGTTTCACTTCCAAGCCTGAAGTTCTCAAAGGAACTTATAGTGGTCCTGAGGCCCACCAGGTAGCAACATATGGGTGCAGTGACCTGGAGATGTGGGGACTATTTTTTAATTGTTAGTAGGTGCTACTATGTATTAGTTAAATAAAAATTAAATTCAGAATAGTGTGGAATTCAATCTTTATTTTTAAATATACAATTTCTTTTATATACTAGTGCTTTAAAAATTTATGTTAAAATACATTCTCATAATTGAAAAAAAAAACAGCATGCTAAATTTTTTTATATAAATGTTTAAAAAATTGGTATATATAATTATACACAATAGTGGGATTCATTATAAAATGTTAAATCTGAATAATTTTTAACTACCATGGGCTGTGTTTAAGCATTAGTGTTTGTATTTTTATTTGTTTGAATCTCTTGCATGCCTGTCTTCAGAGGAGAAGTATCCTAACGTGGGAACACTGGTTTCTCCATGAATCCCTCTAACTCCAGCATTCTCCTATAAAAGTGGGAATGACGGCAATGCTAGTACCTGCCTTCCGGTGTGTGCGTGGGAATTAAAGAAGAGGGCAGTGATAGCAGGGTAGCTGGTAAAAATGGCATGAGGTCACATGCAGTGTGGGGCTCACTACAGGCACAGGGATGTGGGAAGGGGAACCCAGTTGCATCCTCCTGGGTGTACAAGTGAAGCTACAGGTGGTTTCCATCCCCGCAGCTTTCCCTGCACTGCTACATGGCACAGCATGCCCTCCCCCACTTTTATGTGGCAGAGGCCTTCTTGCCCTGAGCATGGCCATTCTCTCAGCTCTTCCACAGGTGCCAGCGTGCTGTGCAGGCCCTGCCCAGCCGGGCCCGCAGGGCCTGCTCGGAGCAGGAAGAGCGGCTGCTACGCAATGTGGTTGCCTCCTTGGCACAGGCCCTGCAGGAGCTGTCCACCAGCTTCCGGCATGCACAGTCGGGCTACCTCAAACGTGAGTGCTGCCTGCCCTACTGAAGGGACTTAGAGAAAAGAATTACTTTTTGTTCTCTTTGTTTCTTTTTTGCAACTCTTTCTCTATTTATTCCTTGTACCTTTTCCATTCATGCTTTTTGTAACAAAAGGAGGTCCCCTCCCCAGGTTAACCAGAGGATCCTAGAGTAGTTGACATCTAAGCAAATGTTTATTCCATCTCAAACTTGAGGAATTTGAAAATCATCCTAGCGTGTTGAAAAAAAATTGCTATTTTCTAGCTGTTGAAGCTTGGGAACTGCTCATAAATAGGTAAAAGAAATAGTTGTCATCACATGAAGCCACATATTTACATAACAACTGAAGTATTTGAGAATGCCTAACAAACCTTCTGAGAATAGCTTATAAGTACTTCCTGCCTTCACCACCACTTTGTTCAGCATACCTTTTCTTCCCAAACAGTTCAAAGCCAAACAGTCATATCCTCATTCTACTTACCTTGGAAATGGGGTTTTTACTTTGCCATTGCAACCAGCCAATAAAGTCCCCACATACTTAAAAAAAAAAAAAAAAAACAACCTCTCTTTCCCTTCCCTCTGACAACTGATAATATTTGTATTTTAATTGTATTGCCTCTGAAATTTGATTAGGGTTATTTGAGATTCTCAATAGAAATGCTCCTAGAGAAAATATTGATTTGTTGTTGTTGTTAATGTTTTGTAATAGCAGTTAGAGTGACCATTTCTGTTTCACTCAGAGATTCTCAGATGGTTGTGTCGTTTTGTCTTGGCATCAGGTGAGCTGTGCACAGCTAGAGTGGGACTTGTCTTAAAGGTCTCTCAAGGCTGGCACACCCTCGCATGTATTAATGCCCTCCTCCCCTCCCTAGAGCTGCTTCTCTGAAGCTTCTAGGAGATCTCCACTTTGACTGTTGAGTTTTACTCTAGATTTCCCCTTTTTAATGGTGGAACAGTAACCAGAATGGTTTACATATTCGAGTAAAGTGGATTCCTATCTATGATAGGCATGAAGAATCGAGAGGAAAGATCCCAGCATTTTTTTGATACATCAGTACCACTAATGGATGATGGAGACGATAATACTCTGTATGATCGGGTACGTGAAGGGGCTGCAAAAGTGACTGCTGTGATAGGCACTCCTCGGTTTCCTCCTGTCCTAGACCTCGACTCCTGTGCAGTGCAGTGCAGATGCAGTGTGCTCTTGACTCCCATGTCCACCAGGTAGCCTTTGCAGCAGGCGGAAGAACAGCCACACTGTTTCTTCCTTTCCAGAACCTGCAGAGAGACCTTGTAGTCTGGTTTCCAGAACTGTTAGGAAAGCAGTCTTACCCCGCTTTCTCAGGAAGAACCCAAGGAAGCACAGGGTCATCCCTGAGCCCTTGCATGGCTACAGACTGGGCTTCTTTCTATGTCCCCTGCTTTGGTGACAGTGCCATAGATCCCGCTGCTTGGGGGAATTTGGATCTTTCCTATTATGGAAAAATAAGTGCTTATTGTCGTGTGCTTTATAGAAATATTTTCAGAATTCGTTTTCTTTAAATGATATCTGAGCTGGCGTGCCATAGCTTTCCCAGTGGGGAAATTCCATGCTGTTGTTTCGCTAGGGCTTCACAGACGACCAGCTGGTGCTGGTGGAGCAGAACACGCTGATGGTGGAGGAGCGGGAGCGAGATATACGTCAGATCGTGCAGTCCATCTCTGACCTCAATGAGATCTTTAGGGACTTAGGAGCCATGATTGTAGAACAGGTATGCAGGTCCTCCTTCCCCATCTGTGAAGTTTCCTGCTGTGATGTGCATCCTTCTTCCGAAGTCCTTTGAATCCTGTATTTCAATCAGGGAAAGATTTGAACTGTGCTCTGTGTGCATGTGTACAGAAATATACATAGTAGGTATATACTTACAAGTGATTTACATTGGCTGCTGTCTTTCTCTATAAAAATATTAATGAACTTTTTTTCAGATAAAAAGAAATAAGTAGAAGTTGTAATATTCCCTGCTTCTGCCCCAGGGCATTGATATGAGCCCACTACTGTGGGGACCGAGCAAGCCCAGCCCTAACTCTGGCAATAGAGAAGATTTCCTCTCGGATTTTGGCGGGTTATTGTGTGATGGCGCTTAGAATCACCAGCTTCCAAGTAGAATTAAATTGTTGTTCACCGTTAAAATCTGATTAGGGCATTTTATTATCTTGCCAGCAGGGATTTGGGTCCTGATCCCCCTGAAACCAACTGCAGAATGGAGTGTTCAGGCTACACGAGATCCAGTTATATTAATTACTCCTGTGCTTCCCAGTGAACCTTCATCTCTCCTGATCTAGCATGTTTCCAATAAGAGTCCTGCCCTCCCTGCAGCCCAGTGTCCCCTTCTTCCTATAGGAACCCTGGAAATTAAACAATTAAAAACACTTTTTTTTGAGACTAGATTTTAAATTTTAGTTGGTAGATTGGAGCTTTCCGTATTCTGCTCTGACCCGTGGAGAATCTTGTTCACTTTTGTAGATGTAATGGTCAATGAGCAGATCTAGTCATGACTAGGTTGAGCAACAAAGTTGTCTCTTTGCTGCACAGAGCTTATTTCCATTGAACTCTATATTTTAAAAATCCCTAGTAAGTCTGAATACAGTGTATCAGACATTGGCTAAATCCAAAAAAAATAAAATCAAAAACAAAAACCTCAAGTTGTCAAGTCTTTCTTTTCCATGAGCTAGTCTTCATTGAAACTAACCCTGCACTCTGGGCTGGAGTACCTGATGTTGCTTGAGGGTCGACTCCTGCACTTCCATTTGAGCCCCCTAGCCACATAGTTAGGTGGTCAGAACATGCAGGGTGGATTCTTTCTATAAATTTGCATGTCTTGTATTCAAAGTTCAGTTCCCCCACTGCGACTGTTGATCCTGCATGTGTGTCCTTTGTTACTCAGGGTACAGTCCTTGATAGAATTGACTATAATGTTGAACAGTCCTGTATCAAAACCGAAGATGGATTGAAACAGCTTCACAAGGTAATATCATCTTCCATTGGTTGGGAGTTTTTAGAAAATGTCAGCAACTCTGAAGAGTTTGTGAGAGAATTCACAGATGTCCACCATGGCTACCGTTGGCATTCCAGTGCATGGCCAGCTCTCTGTGGTTGTGTCAACGCACACCACCATTTCATTCCAGCTGCTTTGCGGGATGCTGTTGCCATTTTGCTGCTGACCACGCCAAGTCTGTGCATTACCTGGAGAAGAGGGAGTTTGTGGGAGTGTGAGCGCTGGTGCTTTCATTCTTTGCTGATGAGGTGCCTGTTTCAGGATGTTTTCATGATATTTGTTCATTTCTTTCTGTTAAAAATCAGTGGGAAACATCTTAGAAGTCTCATGCCACGAATATTACGTGCACATGTTTTCTTTTAAAGGAATATAATAGTGCTTCACAGATAAAACAAATTGTGTCCACTTCCTTGTATTATGAGACTCAGTAGTGTTCCTAGCCACACAATGAGCCTTTTCCCAATTCTCTAACACAATACGATATTACTGTTCTAAAACCAGTTGCCAGACAGCCCAGATGACCACCTAACACGAATGACAGGTTTACAGAGCGCCCAGTCTATAGTCTGCCTCAGGTGCTAGCCATGGCTGGCACAGGAGGGACTGAAAGCAGCACCCAATGAGAGGGAGGCATGCCCTGCCCTTGCGGAGGCTGTTTAAGTATTTAGATTAACCCAGTTGCAAAGCCCTGTATATTAAAGTAAAAATCAACTTTAGTTCTTCACAGTGTGATACCAGATTCTGATATGCTGCTGCATTATGCATTGGTTTTGAAGTTTCTTAAATAACAACGAGTGGGGCATGTTTTGCATTCTAAAAAGGATGGGGGGGGGGACCTCCCCTCAGGAATAAACAGATCTAGGGGGACTAGAAATGTCCTCATGGGTTGTATTGTCTGCCTTATTGCAAGAGGCCTTCTGGTATGTTTTGGGTATTGGCCCTAGGCTTGGGTGTACTCATTAGGACAGTAGGGGTGCACCCTGGTCCCTCAGGGGAGGGCAGTGGGATCAGGCAGCTATGTCCTGGCACATGGCTCCTCTGAGGATGACTGAGCCTTAGTAGTCACTTCACTGTCCTGCCATTTCCTCTCAGTTGAGAAGGGGCTCCACCAGTGGATGGGGGGCTCACCAAGGAAGAAGGCAGGGGGCATGGAGGTGGGACAGAAAAAACTATGTCCCCGCCAGTTCTCCTCATCCACCTGGGATTGCAGATCTGGAGGGGGCCTGTACTCCCTGGAGTGCATGTTGGCCCCTTGCCTTCCTATCCTGCATAGGAAGAGGTTTTCTCAGGGGCTGTCAGGGGCAGTGGCATGGGGCGTGCTGGCATTTTTGCACCTCAGGCATGTTGGGTTATGTAGTGCTCCCTCTGAGCTCTCCCAGATGGGCCTCCTCAGGCTGGGTTTTTGGGAGCTCCTCCGTTTTTCTGAGTAGCACCTGGCACTGGGAGGGCTCGCCTCAGGTGGGCTCTACTCACAACAGCCATGGGGCACGTTTAACCCATTTCTGTTTCAGAGGATGAATGTTTTTTATTTCTAAGTTTAGGGGAGGTTGAAAATGAGCCTCAGCCGTCTGTTGCCGTCTGTTCTGTACCTCCTGGTTATGGGAACTGTACGTTCTATTCTCTTTCACAGGAAAGGCGATATGCACCTGTGTCTAGACATGGGACTTTCTATGAGGCTGAGGAAGCCAGAGTTGGGGGAAATCAGGTGCACCCAGATCCAGAAGCACAGTCTTTGGCATCTCTACAGCCTTTGTCTTAACAGCAGATCCCAACAATGTTTCCCCGAGTCCATGATTAAACCAAGGGATGGTTGACTAATGTGGCCTGGTCTTTAGCAGACACATTGCTACTTGCTATGCAGAAAGTGTCAGAAGCCTCTCCAGAAAGCAAGGCTACTGGGTTTGGGTTCTGGGGAAATGACTGTCTCTTTCCTCCTCTCCCTGTAGGCAGAGCAGTACCAAAAGAAGAACCGGAAGATGTTGGTGATCCTGATACTCTTTGTCGTCACCATCGTCCTCATTGTTGTCCTCGTGGGTGTGAAGTCTCGCTAGCAGTGTAGGGTTCTCACACCACTGCGCTGATTTCCTGGGTGTGGGGGCTCAGCCCACACCCCCGGCTACTGCAGAGCTGCATCCGTGGACTGTACGGGCACCAGGTGCAGGGTCCACCTCTGCTGCTGCCCCTCACTGCACTGGCGCCCCGAGTGGAGGCAGTGGGCCTTTGTTTTCATCTCTTTCAGGGTGCGAGGACCTTTACTCTTGTGACAGGGTGGAGGTTGGTTCTGTGCTCAGTTATAATTCATATTTTTTACAAAGTGAAGGTGAGTTGAATGTTTCTGGCACTGCTGTGGCTGCTCAGTGTGGTACGTCTACGTGCTATTTTTTTAGCAGTCAAGTCTGAGCAGCATGTTAAAATAATTTTTGGAAAAATTTTTTTTAAACCATGTGGTTTTTAAGAAATTTGGTACCAAAAATTTATGAGTAGAGGCAAAAATGCCTTTTCATCTTTCTCTCTATATTTTCCAGTTGAAACAAACCAAGAAGTCCTTTAAGAATTTATAATCTGTTCCCCATTAACTTAATTTAGCTTTTCCATCACTGCTAATGATCAGAGTAACAAAGTGTGAAAAATAAGAAACCATCATTGATGTTAATTAACACATTTAGATGGGCCAGTTAAAACAGCTTCATAAGTTTAAATTAATTGTAAATAGAATATTCCTCATTTAAAATTTTTGCACATTTCTACTGTAAATCAAAAGGGGTTACTAAGCAAAACCATCTCAGTTGAAAAGTTGGTGATTTGAACCAACCTCCCATTAAGAGGAAGCTTGACTGTGTCATGAATGTCACAGACTGAGCCGGTGTGTCCTGGTTGTCCCTGGCCGTCCTCACTCCATCACTTACATACTAACCACATAATGACCTGTTCAAACCAGACTCCATCTAATGAACTGTGAATTTACACAGAGGCCATTTTAAATGGGTCACCCCATTTAGGATTAGTGGATCTCAAATTATTAACCAAACATCACTCCATTTCAAAGTAAAATCTTCCACCAGTGGTTTGATTTATGGGCTCTTCTGCTGCCACTCAGCAATGCTGGGAAAGTAGTCCTGTTCCCGAGGGCGGCAACTGGGAAACCCTCACCCGTGGGAGTGGGACTTGGTTTCCCTCGCTGTGTCATTGTAGTGTCTCCCTCTGTGTTCCAGGAATTGGGGCCGGGGGTTGGGGGCAGTAATAACTCTGAAAACTGAGGCTGTTTGAGTTTTACTTGCCCAGTTTTAATTGATACCAGTGTAATTTTACTGGCCTTTGTGTAATTTTTTTTTATAGCTTTTTCATTGTTTTTGCTTCTCTTAAAGTTTTTAAGAAGAGCATGACCCCATTAAATGTATTACATTTTACTTGAACCGGTCACATAAAATGCCTCTCTAGAATTGACTTTGAAGTGGTTTCCAGAAATATACACTCAAAGCTAGACTCCAGTCATCCAAACAAATCGTGGGCTTACCACCCAGCCCCGGCCTGGCCTCCCCTTCTCTCATTGTGTCTGCCTCCAGGCGGCCTCCGGTTTCCTCTTTCTGAGGCAGGGTGGAGTGAGGGGCTGCCACAGGTGTGCCTGCCGTTCCCAGGCAGATGTTTACGAAGGAAGAGGAATGGATGCCTCCCCCTCATTTCCAAGGTGTGGGACTCTAGAGACCTCTGGGACCCCACAGTCAGATGGTGGTGGGGTGGGGTGGGGTGGCTCTCCCAGTTAGGGGTCTTGCCTCAGAAGCAATCCACAGAGGCTGTGCTTGATGATAAAGTTTTTAAAAAGGTAGGGTCTTTGCAACCCTTGAAGCAAATTGACCCTTTTAGAAAGGCTCTCCACTTATTTATAAATATTTATTGCCCTGAATAGGGTAGTTTGGGTTCTCCCGTAAACCATAGTGGACCTGATTAGAACTTATTTTCAGGACCTCCTGGAGAAGGGGAAACTGTCCCCTTCTGTCTGCAGCCAGGGCAGTGCTGGCCAAGCCCCGCTGTCTGCTGCTGTGACTGGGGTCCCAGGGGCAGAGGCCGATAGGCTCAGCCAGGTGCTAGCCCCAGAGCTTGTGCACTGACTGTTGGTTYTCAAACCACTGTGTTTTTTGTTGAGCCTGTTGGGGGGCGGGGGTGGAGGGGTGAGGGGGATAAGTAGCATTTGAGGAAGTTAAGAGAAAACCAGTTGTTATGGCCTGGTACCTCAGGGCAGCACTTTGCCTTGCAAAGAGGTGGACCTTTAACTGGCCACAGCTCCTTTCAGTGGTTGGGCCTTGGGGGTGTCGATTGCCCGGGCCACTCTCCCCTGGCCTGGAAAGGGCCCTGTGGGACCCTCAGGCCTAACCTATATACATGCCCTCTTCCAAGTGTCCAGGGCCAGTTCAAATGGAAGTGGTTGTGTCCGTTCTCCAAGCTTATGGTCTTCCCTGAGATTGTAACTGAAAACTGCTGTCTGTTGTTCTTGTTTGTCTGGTTCTGGTGGTGGTGGTGGGTGCTGGCTGGGCCATGCCACGTGAAGCAGTACGCGTCTCTAATTTAACGGATTTACCACTCTCTCTGCTAATTGAGAGAGCATTATTTATTTGTTTTGACACAAGTGCTTGCAGTGTTTTATCCCAGCTAATGGCTTCTTAAAGGTAATAAAACCCTTCAACCTAATTGGTCAGATAAGACTTTTTTTCTTGTATGCTTAAATAAAGCAATTAGTGAAATGCTTCTATCCAAAATGACTTTTTTGTCCTTTTTTAAGAACTAATTTACTGTCACTGGAAACTTTTTGTACAATAAAGCAGTTGTGTAGATTAAAGAACATCCTGCAGTCCTGGTATTAATTTTAATGGCGGGTTTACCGTTTCCTTCAGATGCATTTGTGTCAGGGGAGCGCCTGGCCTGGTCCGGTCTGTGATCTTGTGCCTGAGGCCTTTGCCTGAGTGTCGGAAAGTCAATCTGTCTATCTAATGAAAGCTTTCAAAGGGACCAATCTATTTGCTGTCCAATATACAAAAAGGGAAACTGCCTTAAAAGGAGTTAATTATTTTTCTTTTGAAAACATTTTATACACATACCAAGAACCATTTGGAAATTTTCACATGAAACTCTAGTGTTCCTGAAGTAATTCTTAAAACACAGGATTCGGGACACTTGATTTTCTAAATGGCCTTGCGCCTTTCCCATCCTGCTGTACTGAAAACTTGAGGGACACTGTTTGTCAGTTGGACTCAAAGCCGAGACTGTTTGGTCCTTGCAAGGCTGGGTAGCCCTTTGTCAGGAAGTACTGGCTTACAACATGGACACTGCTGGCAGAAGGTTTGCCAGTGAATCAGGATGGGGTATGAGCTGCTTTAATATCACAGTCCAGGTAGTGTCCTTGGTACTGGGCATTTCATCCTGAGACCAAAGAAGCAGCAGCGCTGCCACCCCCGTACCCTTGCCCTGTTCTTTGACTAGAAATTAGAGTTCGCCCAATTTGCTTGTCAGCCATGTCTCTGCCTGAGAGTAAGATCCACTCTCAAAGGACGGACTTCTGCTCTAGATTTGAGGATATCCAAACTAATGGTGATCACATTAAAGAAGTCATCCATTCTGACATGGCAGGAAGGTGGCTGCAGGCTCGGCTGCGTGTGTGCTTCCTGAGTGGCAACCTCTTGGGTTATGTTCCCAATGGAGTACCTTGCCAGCCCAGTCAGATAAAACCCAGAAGGTTGCTCTTGAGCAGAGAACTCCAAAGATTTAGGCCCTGACCTGAAGGTGGTGGAGCATTGACTCATCCCCTCTGAATGCTCACCTTGACCGTGGGAGCAAGGCTAGATGTAGATTTACTCTGCCAAGTGTAGCAAACAGCCTACATGTTTAGTTGTCCAGTCAACCCAAAGTTAGCGCAGTCTTCCCTGGATGGCTACCACTGTGTAGTTGCAGAGAAACAAGTGCCCTTGTCCAGCATGACCTGAATCCACACACAATGGCCAGTGTGTTTCTCCACATGCTGCCTCAGGTCATCAGGGTCTCTCTTTCTCATCAAACCATATGGGAACCATACAGAAAGACCTTTGCTGGGAAGGGGACGGTCATTAGTTGGGTGCAGGGAAGAATACCTGCTTCTTGGTGGTGCACATCACTGATGAGTACGGGAAGTTTCGATTTCTTCTAAGACTGGGGAGGCAGATGTTAGCTGTACCCTGGAACTTGGCACTGTGCACACACTCCAGTGTCAGCCTTGCATTGCAGCTCTCCTTATGCACACCCACCTTTGAAATCCCTAGCTTTTCTATCTGCAAATCCTCTCGACCACCCAGATGGCACCTTTAACCCTGTGCCTGGGGTTTTTGTTTAGTTCTGTTTTGAAACTGAGGGAAAACAGCCCCCTTCAAGTTGATGGGTATCAAAATGAGCTAATGAAGGCCCTGGGTGGGCACACAGAGGTTTCCGTTTAGGACTCAGAGTTAGATGGTGGGCACCAACTGTGCATCTTGTCCCCAACTCCACAACACCTCAGATGGTTGTCATTGTACCAGTCTGTGGGTTTTCTTACCACACAAAGAGACATTCCACAGAGCCAAATGGCAGAGACTTGCACACACAATTATCTGGTCAATTGAGGCAAAAGAAAGTAATCATTTGTCCAATTGTCCAAATTAGCTCTCTGGACTGTCCTGAATGCTCAGGATAATTGTGTGGTCCTCCACTTTCGTTCCATAATCTGGCTAAAATGAACCATTTTAGATGAGGCTCCATTCAACACAATGCACATTGAAATCAGACTCAGTTAAAATAGACCACTGGGTTTAGCACTTTCTGTTTGTCAACTGTAATCCTATAATTGCTTTTAACTAATCATCCAGATTCTACCATTAGTAATCACTAGATTTCTCATTTTATAGATGTCCTCACAGAGGCAAAGGGCTCTGGTATGCGCTATTGGGTATTTTTCTCAAAGTAGGTTCGAGGAAATCAAACATTTTTTTCTTAATTGTTTATGTTTTAGCCTGATCTTTAGCTATGGGTCACCAGTACAGACCTCCATTTTCTTTTTCTTTTTCTTTTTTACTGTGGTGCTGGGGATTGAGCCCAGGGCTTAGTGCATGCAAGGCAAGCACTCTACCAATTGAGCTATATCCCCAGCCCTAGATCTCCATTTTCATCAACTCAAACCCCCAAGCCTCTCCCTTTTCCAGATGGGGAAACTGAGGCCTGCAGCAGGACTCACCAAGGTCACGCTGAAAGTGTAACTCAGAGCTGGAACTAGAATCATCAGCTCTCTAATTTGCAGACCAGCACTATTTCTGCTTATGCCATTTTAATTGTTCATTTCTTTCCATAAAATTAAATGACCTTCTTCAAGAAAGATTTAATGGTCAAGATGTGATTTGGTAAAAAGCTTCCTCAAGGATTTTTTTTTTTCTTATTACAAAGATGAGGCCAGGCTGCAGCTAAGAGAGATTTGCAAACAGTGGTGTGTCATTATCCCAGTTCAGTTTTTTGTGTAATTGGTGTGAAGAGATTGCTGCCGATGAGTCAGCCTGCTGCTGGACAGAAAATAATGATTCTTTTGTGACATGACTTGGTGTACATACACGTGAGCTTGGGGTTGTTTATAAAAGGTGTATATGTACACAAAACACTTACCAAGATGGATAATGTCATCATGAAGTTGTAAATAATAAGAAATAGTCTTGAGCAAAACTGATTTAATATTTGCCTGAGAATGTAGCACTTCATTTCAACACTACGCAATGGCTAGAAATTGATTTTTTTTTAAATCCAATTAAGCCTCAAGGTTGGTTATCCATTTAAAAGGTCGGATGAGTTAAACAATGACAGTACCTTCCGTTCACGCTAATAATTAGATTTGCTCAGAGCCTCAGCACTGGCATGGTGCCTTGCAGAGGCTCACATTTTGTACCTTTGCACAACTGTGAGCCACCCATGTCCCCAGCCACGCACTAGCTATACCAGCAAAGCAGGGACCCCCAGCTGGCTGCCCATCTGATTCCCAACACCCACCCATGAGTGTGTGAACCTCAGCAGACGGCTACCTACTCTCCTTTCTATGGTCCCAAGAGTATTGAGACATGGAAAGTCACCCTTGGTTAAAGGGAAAAGAAAGACGCAGACACCACCTGGTTGTGTGTGCTACCTAGTTTATAATAAAACAAATTCAGCTTTTAAAATGGTGCTTTTTATAGCACATATTTACTATATGCTTCTAACAGGTTAAGAACAAGACTTCAAAATGCCTTTTTATGGTTTTTGTAGGTAATATTTAAGTATTACTGAATTTATGAAGATGTTGGGAAAACCACGAGCCTGATTGGAATGCTTTTTACTCTGTGTGAGCTGTAATGTCACTCATGTTTTGTAAATTACTGGGAAGGGACAAGT